AGCTGGCGCACAATAGCGTGCCAGAGAGGGGGACCTCCATTTCCCCTCTCGCGGAACGAATCGATGTAACACAGTGTATGTCGTACACACCAATCACAACCTCACGTGTAATGTCTTAAATTAAATTAGCTATATATATACATATACAGTATATATGTATTCTGGCTCCAGTTTTACAATAAGTAGACACGAATGAAATAAGATCATCATGACAAACAAATTTCCAATCAGTTTTGTTACGGACTTCATAGCTATAAAGATGTTCATCAGAACCAATTATATGAAACATAGTGAAAAGAGAGAATATATTATTCAACTTCTTGCAATAGATTATAAACCGTATTTGATCAAATATAGGTAAATTATCTTCATTGTATGTTACAGCAACATACATACCTTTTTTAAAAAGCGTTTCAAATATTCTGACCTATGAGTTATGATTATTTTTTCGTTCATGTCTGGAGGTAGAGTATGACTGAACAAAAGAAGCCAACATTGAAATCAACATAATTCTCTTCATATAAGAAGAAAATTAATTGATATAAGAAGGAATCCTCTTGAAATAAGAGGAAAACAGAATAATATCTAATAAATTTTAGATGAATGGTTCACTTTAATCGCTTTATCGAAAGAGGAATCCTTTTTTTGTAAAATGCTTCGCTTGAGCGAAATATAAGACTATGAGAAAAATCACTTTACAAATAGAATTTTTTTTTATGAATTTGAGCGCGCCACTCGCGTAAATCGCAACAATTTTTGCTTAACACGTGAACAACTTGAGCGAGAAATAAACATGCTTAGGCATTACTCTCCATTCGACCGCCAACTCTCTGATTTCATGGCTTCCAGAAATATTTCGAAATTTCTGCGCGTAATTTGATAAATTTCCAGTGGGTCGTTGCTTTTTTTCCTCACAGAGAAATCGCAGATATACAAAAATTGATAAAACTAGCCTGCGGTAATAATTTATAAAATTCGAGTGTATAACCTTTGAATGATTCGTGAACATAACACGTTTGAAAGCATCCCTGCGATTTCAAAGGAAAAAAATTTACGTTTGATGCACGAATGTAACATTTCCCAAATTGAAGTTTCTCTATGCACGACTCGTCAATGGTGCGATGCAGACTAACACGGTCAGCCTCGAATTTTAATCTACACTAACGAACACACGTATACTATACTAACATTCGCTCGTCAAGCTGCGATTGTGCAGTTTTTATTGGCAACGCGGTGCATTGTAACTGATAATAAATCGTGTGTCATAAACAAGTAAGCACGGAAAAAGGATGCAAGAAGAAAGATAGTGATAGAATGAGCTAGAGAGATGCAAAGGGAATAGAAAAAGTATAGGAAGAAGAGAAGGCAAAAAAGAAAGAAGGAAAATGAGGAGAAGAGAAAGTAAAAACAGAAAGGACAAGGAAAGGGATTGGAGTAGCGGAAGAGGATGAGCAGAGAGAGAGAGAGAGAGAGAGAGAGAGAGAGAGAGCGAGAGGGGGAGGAGGAGGAGAAAGAGCGACTGCAAATAAGGGTGAAAGTCGGAGTGACTCAGATCAATAATAGTGACAGTGGGTTGTAAAGAAGAGTTAGGGAAGTTAGGGAAGTAGAGAAAAAAAGGTTGAGATGATGAAAAGGGAAAGATGGGGGTAGACAAATGAATGAAGACACAAGAGAGAATGAGAGAAAAAGAAGAGGTGTGAATAAAAGAAAAAAAGAGTGAATAAAGAGGGGTGAGTAAGAGAGAGGGAGAAGTAAATGAAATTAGAGTGAGATAGAAGAAGAAAATATAAGAAAAAAGAAGAGAGAGAGAGAGAGAGAGAGAGAGGGAGAGAGAGAAAGAAAATGAGAGGGAGATAATGAAGGGGTGCAAGAGTATGAAATGGGAGAGAGAGAGAGTGAGCGAAGAAGAGAATAAAATGATGAGAGAACGATAAGAGGATGAGGCAAAGAAAAGAGGAGAAAATAAAATAACAAGAAGGGGAGGAGCGAAATCAGAAGGAGAGAGCAAAAGGGTAGATGGGAAGGGAACAGGAGGGGAATAAATAAATATATACGAGGGCGGTCCGATAAGTACTTAGCCTCACCGCCCGATGGCGCCACTATCGCAAGAGAAATTTACTATCGTGTAGTACATTCTCGTAGACGGCTACTGTTGAAATTTCAGCCGAGTCGGACTCGTAGTTTTGTTTTGACCGCGTGTGAAAGCGGGCGTGTCCGCGGATTTTAGAAAAATGGAAAAAGAGCAATATCGGTCGGTGATTCGATTCTTGTTTTTGGAGGGGAAATCGTGCAGCGAAATCAAAGAGCGCTTGGATGCTGTGTACGATGACTCTTCTCCTTCGATGGCGACCGTCAAAAATTGGTTTAACGAGTTTCAACGTGGTCGCACGTCGGTTTTTGATGAACCGCCCAGGTGCCCCGAAAACGGCTACCACGGAGGATAACATGACAAAAATCCACGATCTCGTATTGGCAGACTGCCGATTGAAGGTGCGCGAGATAGTTGAGACAGTAGGCATCTCAAAAGACCGCGTGGGTCATATCCTGCATGAAATTTTGGGCATGAGAAAGCTGTCGGCGTGATGGGTGCCGCGTTTGCTCACTCCGGACAACAAGCGCAACCGTGAGATCACTTCAGAGCAGTGTTTGACGCTGTTTAAGCGCAATCCGAAGGAGTTTCTGCGTCGTTTCGTGACCGTCGACGAAACATGGATCCACTGGTACACACCAGAGACCAAGGAACAGTCGAAACAGTGGACTTCACCCGGCGAACGTGCTTCAAAGAAGGCGAAGACTGTCCTATCGGCCGGAAAGGTGATGGCCACCGTTTTCTGGGATTCACAAGGTGTGATCTACATCGACTACCTGGAGAAGGGTAAAACGGTCACAGGGCTGTACTATGTCGAATTATTGGGCCGATTCGAATTATTTCGCCGAATTGCAGAAAAAACGGCCCCATTTGGCGAAGAAAAAAGTGCTCTTCCACCATGACAATCGGCTCAAGCCTCCGCCCTCGCCACGGTCAAATTGGTCGAATTGGGCTACGAACTGCTGCCCCATCCACCGTATTCTCCAGATTTGGCCCCGTGCGACTTCTTTTTGTTTCCAAACTTGAAAAAGTCACTCGCCGGGCAGAAATTTGAGTCGAATGAGGAGGTCATCGCTGCCACGGAGGCCTACTTTGCAGACCTCGAGAAAACGTATTTTTCAGACGGGTTAAAGAAGTTGGAGCATCGCTGGGTCAAGTGTATCGAGCTAAAAGGAGACTATGTTGAGAAATAAATCGCCACTTTTCCAAAATTTTCGTTTTTCTTTTGTAGGCTAAGTACTACATGGGCTGAAAAGTCTTTGGCCTGACATATAGATGGCGCCACAAACTAAAAATCCTTATATTTCCTATAGAGTACCAACCTTAACTTAGATGCTGTAAAAATTTCATGATATTTCGTTGACTCGTGTACAAGTTATAGCTTTCGAAGTGACGTTACCTCTGAATTTATCTTTACTATGGAAAAAAGTGAATTTCGTGTTTTGATTAAACATTGCTTCCTGATGGGAAAAAACACTGTTGAAGCAAAGGCATGGCTTGATAAATGTTATGGCACATCTGCCCCACCGAATTCAACCATCAAATATTGGTTTACTGAGTTTCGTCGTAACCGTACGAGCACAAATGATGCACCACGTTCAGGAAGGCCAAATGAGGCAGTTACTCCAGAAAACATCTAGAAAATCAGTGAAATCGTGTTGAATGACCGCAAAATGAAATTGAGTGAGCTAGCTAACATCATAGGCATCTCAAAGGAACGCGTTGGTCATATCATTCATGAATATTTACACATGAAAAAGCTTTGCGCGCGTTGGGTGCCGCGTTTTTTGACAATTGAGCAAAAAGCGGAACGTGTTCGACTTTCAAAGCAAAATCTGGCCCTGTTTAACCGCAATAAGAAGGAGTTTTTGCGTCGATTTGTCACAATGGATGAAACATGGATCCATCACTACACACCGGAGTCCAATCGGCAGTCAGCGGAGTAGTTATTGCCTGGTGAAAGCCGTCCGAAGCGCCCGAAGACACAACAATTAGCCGGCAAGGTTTTGGTCAGTATTTTTTGGGATGCGCATAACATAATATTCATTGATTATCTTGAACATGGAACATGAAAACTATCAATAAAGAATATTACTGTACATTACTGGATCGATTGGACGACGAGGTCAAGGTCAAACGGCCACATTTGGCAAAGAAAAAAATTTTGTTTCACCAAGACGATGCTCCAGCTCACTCGACTCGCGATACGACCGATAAATTAAAGAAATTGCGCTATGAATTGGTCCCGCATCCCCCGTATTCTCCAGACCTGGCCCCCAGCGACTATTTCCTTTTTCCCCGACTGAAGCAGTGGCTCGCTGGTAAAAGATTTTACTCGAATGAGGAGGTCAAGTTGGAAACAAATGCCTATTTGGGACTTGACACCGAGCACTATAAGACCGGCATCGAAATGTTAGCGGACCGTTACACTAAGTGCATTACTCTAAATGGAGATTATGTCGAGGAATAAAACACTTTTTTCATTAAAAAATCGTTTTTTCATTGTTAAGCCAAAGACTTTTCAGCCCATGTAGTACTTATCGGACCACCCTCGTATATATATATATAATATATCTGTATATATATATATATATATATTATTTTTCGCTGTAGGTTATAATAATTTTTTCAAATTAACTAGTATAACCAGTAAGAATAAAGTACAGTAAGAATAAATAATAATCGTCCTAAAAAAAGATTAAATAATCTGTGTATAAGAGGAAATTTATATTAAAATTAATAAAATTTGCATTATACATGTATAACATATAATCCCTCTAATTTTGAGAATAATGTATTTATAATATTTTCCTTTTGATCTTAGAGGAATCCTCTTGAGGCCATATATGAGAACAAAACCCTCTAAAATTTAGATAATTCCTTTTGTTCTGAAATTACTTTTTTTTGGGTGTTGCAAGCAAAATAACAAATACTAGCAGAGAGCTGTCGATCATCGGCTTCATCGCGTGGAAGCGTTTGGGTGAGAGATTGTTGGTTCAGTCGTTCGCATAAAGAGAAAATGAAGAACAACAGGTTAGCAAGAGTACACAGACGACGAGATAGAATAGGCAGGAGCAGGGAGACTTGTCAATTAATCCCGTGATTTTAGAGATAACGAATTCAATTTGTAGAGAATGCATCCTCGCCGCATTCCTCTTGATCCATCCGCTCTCGACCGGGTTTTATTCCTCAACGGGAGTTTTTCCTTGCGTGAGAAAGTAAGTGAGAAAGCTGGGTGGCGTTTAAAATCGATCCTCGGCCGCAAAAACCCATCCCGAACTTTTCGTCAATATCACATACCGAGACAGTCGTGGTCGTGCAGGAGTTAATTCATTTCCGCAACAGCACGTTGTTCTCCCACTTCCTCTTGAACTGCGCCATTACCTGGGAACACCACGAGGAAAAATATCATTACATATTGTTACTACGAGAAAGGCAAAAGTGGCCGCTCAACCGCGCTGTGGAACTTACCTCCCCGTTGCAAAAGCCGATAAGTACCGCCACACAGAGGCCCTGGAAAAAGGAGAAATGGCGTTTTATTTCGATATTCGAGGTCGGAGAAAATGCAGAACGGCAGAAATGTCCGTCGACTTTACTGCAACGCGCTTCACGCAGATTACGGAGAAGCGAGCTACACTTCCGGTCAACTTTCAAATTTAATCCATGTCACCGGATTGCACGCTTTCGTTGTACACCATTGTGCGAGATTGAGAGATTACGATTCGCCAGATTGCGAAATCGACGCGGTATCGTAAAATGAAAAAGTGAAAAAATGAAATAAATGAAAAAAATGAAAAATATCAATTCAAATATCATGAAAAATATCATATCAAGATCAATTCGTAATATTGATATATATATTATTCATAGACTTCTGTGCTCGTACCAGCGTATCTTTGCTTTGTGGCAGATTATTGCAGTCATGGCCGAATAAGCTTGACAAACAACTCGCAAAGATAACCGATGGATTTTCGAAGAGTTCCTTGCTACATGCTGCATTGCCAAGAGATATTGATCCTTTGAAGCATGAATTTTTCTATGCAATAATAAAAGAAACTGATTATGTATATAGGGGGTTTTCTGCGTCGCTGATTACGAATCTGGAGTCAAAATTTAAAAATGCAAAATGGCGGATCTAATATGGCGACTTCAAATGGTTAACTTTGATATGATATTATGGATTTTAATTTCCGAAATCTGATAACAAATTCGTGGTCAGCGACCCAAAAAACCTTCATGTACTTATTTCTGTCGAAATTGAAGGATTTTGAACATTTTTGTCCACCATATTGAATCCGTCATTTTGAATTGAAATTCTGACCCCGGATTCGTAATCGGCGATCTCAAAAACGTAAAATGAACAAGTTTCGTTACGACTGTTTTTATAGATTACCGTTAAATAAATTTTTACTGAAAAATATATAATTTTATGCAATTTGTTTATTTACAGGATGCTTAAATTAAAAAAAAATTGACATTTTACATTTTCAGCACGTATATCAATATCTAACATATCTTAGAAGTAAAAAAAATTCGGACGAGAATATCCAAAAGATAGCTAAAATAACTAAAAATGAAGAAAGATAAGGTGGGATTGTAGGACCCCACCATGCTTTAAAGGGTTAACGATGGAGTTTTCCCGGTAAAATAAAAAGGAAGTTTAAATTGAGGCAAGTGAAATGCCGAGGAAAATGCTTCGTGTATAACAGTGTCGTTCAATGAAATCGCGATTCTATTGATCCGATACAATTTTACGCAAACGAGGCGGTTCGTCCGTAACGGTGTAACGGTGTAATTACGTTGGTGGCGTCGTGCGATTCCATGCCATGGGAGCAATTCCACGTCAATTTTGGTTGCTCCAGGCACGTATAGGCACGCTTAATTCGACAGAAGACTTATTAACAATGTTCATTTACTCCGATGACATTTTATTCTGCACAAAGCGTCGGGTATATGAAGCGCTTTATCGATAACTAATTACACTTAATACGGTGCAATGCTGTTATTTAAAATCCGAATGTATCATTGAACCCAGAATTTTCGCGTAATAAAAAGAGTTCAAATGTCAAAGTATAATTGGAAGAATATTTTCTCTTTTTCATGCAGCACATTGTAATATAAAGTGCGCGTACACAGACGACTCCTTTATTATATGCAACGTCGCGGAGCTATCACTATCTTTCAATTAAGATTGCTTTAATTAATTCTTTTATTAATTAATCAATTCGCTTGATTAAGATTAATCTTTTTTTATTATTTAATCTACTTAATCAAGTAATCTCAGATCGAGAGTCTTGTTTAGCGAAGTGTGTTTTACCAGCGAGATTGTTATTTTTCCATTTTTTCCATCTTATTTTTAGCGCTCAGTAATTTGCAAATTAAGTTGTGAAGCGAAACATTCTTGGAGTCTCGAAACAATTCCAAACAAAATTAAAATTGAGATTTATCGACATCTGCCAAGAGTCATTCTTATTTTTTTCACCATTTATGTCAAAAATGTCTGATATTCCAATACTTATGTCGGAAAGAAATCGACCGATAAAGAATATTCGCGAAATGTGCGTCTCCGATTTCGACGAAATTTGACAAATATCAGGTGTAGTAAAGAAATCCATTATTTTTCCAATAGATGGCTTTAGTTATCTGTATCTCGCGTTGTATAAGTCCGATCGGGTTCCACTAGATGACGTTAGAAAGATGAGATTTCGTACTAAAAAACTTTTCTGACAGTTTTGTGATTAGTTGACTCAGTTTTGTTTGAGCGCACGTCAAAAATGGGCACTAGCAAAGAGAAAATACGCTATATTTTACAGTTTTTCTTCGATAAAGGCGAAAACGCAAGCCAGGCAGCTGAAAATGTGAATAGTGTTTATGGTCCTGATACTGTAACAGCCAATCACGCGCAATTTTGGTTTCGTCGATTCCGTTCCGGTAATTTCGATGTCAAAGATGCACCACGCACTGGAAGGCCAATTGTCGAAAATATCGATAAAATCATGGACATTGTCGAGTCCGACCGTCATGTAAGCACTGTTTCGATTGCCCAAAAGCTAAAGATTGCACAAAAACCGTTTGGAACCATTTGAATAAGGCTGGATACAAAAAGAAGCTCGATGTATGGGTGCCACACGAGTTAACGCAAAAAAACCTCATGGACCGAATTTCCATTTGCGAATCGCTGCTGAATCGCAACAAAATCGACCCATTTCTGAAGCGGTTGGTCACTGGTGATGAAAAGTGGATCACTTACGACAACGTCAAGCGAAAACGGTCGTGGTCGAATCGCGGTGAGCCGGCGGAAACGTTGGCCAAGCCAGGATTGACGGCCAGGAAGGTTTTGCTGTGTGTTTGGTGGGATTGGCAGGGAATTATCTACTATGAGCTGCTCCCCTACGGCAAAACTCTTAACTCGGAACTGTACTGTCAACAATTGGACCGTCTGAAGGAAGCAATCGCCCAGAAGCGGCCAGCTTTGGCCAATAGGAGAGGAATTGTGTTCCATCAGGACAACGCCAGGCCACACACATCGATAGTGACTCGCCAGAAGCTCCGGGAGCTTGGTTGGGAGGTTCTTATGCATCTACCTTATAGTCCGGACCTGGCACCAAGTGATTACCATCTGTTCCTGTCCATGGCGAACAATTTTGTTGGTGAAAAATTCGTTTCAAGAGAGGCTTGTGAAAATCGACTGTCTCAATTTTGCTAATAGGGACGAGGGCTTCTATGAGAAAGGCATAATGAAATTACCTTCAAAATGGCAACAAGTTATCGAACAAAACGGGGCATATTTGACCTGAATCGGATCATTCTAACTATGGTAATTAAAGCCTTCAATTTCATACAAAAATAATGAATTTCTTTTTACTACACCTAATATTTGTAGAGTAGCCAAAATTCAGAGAGACTCATATCTTTTTTATCGGCAATAGCTCAGGTTTAAGGGGTGAAACTGCCCCTCAGAGTTTCATCCCCTTTATGTTATGTCTTAATAGTTATTGCAGATAGGAAAAAGATTTTTAAACAAAAATTGTACGATTTTTTATGCCAAGTTTCAATGAAATCGAAGACGCACATTTCGCGGATGTTCTTTGTGAGTATTTTTTGCTGAACATGGATGTGATAATTGCAAAACTCCTAGCTTGCAGCTTGTATTTCTTCCATCACGCATATACAGGGTGCGTACGGTATTTGAGGACAAATGACATTAAAACTAATTTATTCATATTTTTTGCAAAATTTATTATAGTTCCATGAAATTTTTACACGACGTTAATTGACTCCTAAACTATACAATTACTCAATAAAATCCCCATTAGCGGCAATAACGTACTTAATCCAGGGTCGGAAACGATTGCATGCCCGAATCAAATGCTCTCTATTCATTTTGATCATTGTTGTTGTTATAGCGTAATTCAGTGATGAAATATTATTGTGAGGATGTTTATTGGTCTCCCGCTCAATTACGCCCCATACGTAATAATCCAGGGGATTAAAGTCTGGGGAGCTAGGTGGCCATAAGTTTGGGGTAATGTGGTCATAGAAATTTTCGGTCATCCAATCTTGTATCATCATGGCTTTGTGTGAAGGAGCAAAGTCTTGCCGGAATATGTATGGTCTGTCCCAACGTACACTATCAATCCAGGGTTTCACAACTGTTTCTAAAACCTCGATATAGGCGGCAGAATTCACCCGAAGCCCCTGACGAAAGAAGTGGGGTGGCATAACATGTCTTTCGTTGCTCACAACTCCCAAAATCATGACAGTTGCTGGAAACTTCGTGTGCATAACACGGGGAACCTCAGTAGGATAAGCATAACCACCTGTCATTTCTCCGATTGATTTTTTGGTCTTGGTCGAAATTCTTTTCGTCAGAAAAAAACCACAACATGTTAGGGACTTCAGGGTGCTTAAGCTTGTTCAAAAGACGTTTTCCTCGGATAAGTCTGTTCCCGAGTTTGTGCCGACATGAGCTGTCCTCTGCGCATAACGTAGGACGTATAGCGGAGGTCTTCGTGGACAACTCGACGGATTAGACAGTCAGAGACATTCAGGTCCCTCGCAATGGCCCTCATGGACTTTGAAGGACTTTCGTCAACGATCTCTTGCACTTGTTGGACAAATTGTATATTTCTAGTAGTGTCCGAACGTTCCTCATGTTTTTTGCGTTTTGCAACAGTTTCTACATCGCCAGCTGATGCTTCCAATTCACGAACCTTATGTACGAATGATCGGGCGCAATTGAGAAAATTGGAGATTTCTAAATTGGTGTGTTTCGCGCATATAGCGACGATAACTGCATGTCTCTTCATTTCTTGCGTTATTCCATAGTCCTCCATTGATGATCTGACAAGAAAAAAAACAAACAAAATTGTTCTCCAGAAATTACATTCACATATATGAGTGTTCTCAAATACCGTACGCACCCTGTACAAAAAATACATCTTTAACGCAATTGAACTGATTTTTACCGTTAAAAGTACGATTGATTTCACAAAAAGTAAACATACATATGCATTTTTTCTAACTGCAATATTTTCCGGCTATTCGAGTTTCCAGTCCCGGGCTTGGCAGTTTTCAAAAGAAAACAAAAAAATCCTGTTCCTTGTTGTGGAAAGCTATCAGCGCGCGCAAAATCGCATCGTATCCGAAATATTTTTATGTATTTTAATATCCCAAACTTCACTCGCCAATTTATTTGTTTACTTATAACATACTTTTTCTTTCCCTTTTTTTTATTTTAAACATTGTATCTTTAAATGTCGTATATTATTTCAAGAATTTATGGAAGAATGACAGACGAATTAACTCCACGATGACGAATGCCTCGAAATATTCGAATATTGATCGTACGTAGCAGAAGAGTACATTCGTGTACGCAAAGTTTCTCAACACGTCCGTCACTTCTCAATAAAACGCGTGCCTTTTAACAACAAGAAGAGAAGATTTAAGTTTATCGTGCGATCATATTTATTCGTCGTCCAACATTTGTATATCAAGCGTATAATAAAATATTATTATTATTATTATTATTATTATACTCACTATTACTATGATTATATATATAATATATTCAGTCTTGATCAGTCGAATTAATTTTACTTGTATAGTAGAAATTCTCTCGAAGGTCGTCGATAAAGATTAAAGGCGTTCACCTGGAAGAAAGCTATGATCGCAGAAAGGACTTCGTAAAACTGCTCCCAAGGATGCTTTTCGGGCGGCCGAAATGGAATCACTAAATAGTAAAGACCCAAGAGAGGTACTAACAATAACGTTGTCCTGATGACAAAATATTAGACGTTATTTTCGTAAAATATCGACAACGGTGATAAATATTACTGCGAGTTTCGTATTCGAAAAAAGAAACACAGTCATTTTTTCCCAACGACTAAAATCATTCCGCGACTATCCCAAAGAGCACCAGTCATTTGTTCATTCACTGAGACAAAATTGTACTAAAATTAAACAAATATTTGTTTGAATACGACTGTGAATAGATTTATTCAAATTAAGCGACCAATTTCTAAAATGAAATACAGAGGTTCTGAATGTAAACTTTTTTCTTGAATTTTAGAAAATAATTGCTTAATTTAAATAAATGTATTCACAGTCATAAATGTATTCGAACAAATATTTGTTTAATTTTAATACAATTTTTCTCAGTGTTCAAAGTATTAACTTGGTTTTAAACGAGAGAGACTGGTGCTTTAAGCGAAAGTTCTACGGCAGATTTATCGGCGACTAACGACGCCGCTTCAAGATGTCGTCGAGCGAATTCTAACGGGTGGACGATCGAAGCAATCTCATGAGAAATAATTCCTCGCGAGGAGGATACATTTCAGTCGATGACTGCCGCGCGGAAAAGAGACCCGTTCGTTACTCCGCGCTCTTATTGTTATTTTCTTTTCTTCTCTTTTCCCGCGCCGTCTCTCGATATGAAACGTGACGCGCAACGGTTAACATACAAGTTATAAAGAATTCAGCTCGTATGTCATCTGAAAGCCTGCAGCATGAATCGCGATGGGCGTGTTCCGACGGCGGGTCTGGCGCGCAGCTTCATGAGGAGCACTCGCACGATGTTAAATAGGAAGAGCAGGTTCAACATGGTGGATACGTACACGGGATAAACAAGCACATTCATATAGCTGCCCTCGTTGATCCAGCACCTAATCGTGACAGTAATCGTTGCATCACGCCGTCAACCAGTGTTGCCAGATCAAAATTATGTGTTTTCATCAATCTTTATGCAAAAATTCTTCAAATTTCCTCACTTTTAGTAACAATTTCACCAAATTGACAAAAATTTTCACTAACTATGCTAAATCTCAATTTTCTTATTTGTTTTTAATAATAACGCATGCGCAAACCTAGAATTATGAGTATAGATAGATTACTCGGATTTGTCGATTTTTAATGAGAAACGAAGATAGAATGGTCGCGTTCAGCGGAGGAAGCAGCTTAGTGAGCGCTCAGTGATTATTGGTGTATTCTTTTATAGCTTTGATAGACTCAAAGTTATTTAATATCAATTCAATTCAATTATTTTTCTTCTTTTAGTCTTAAGATATATTATAACTTCGAAATATCTTCGTTCCTTCCTTTTGTAATGATGAGGGGTGATTATACCACAGTATACACAGTAGCGACTCTCTCTGTCGGCACCTTTGATGTTAGCGTCTCCAAAAATGAATTACACCTTTGTTATCTAACCAATAGCAAACACAGTCTACTTGAGACTACGAGTACAAACGCTTTGAACGCTAAAAGGAAGGCTATTATACAGTGTTCAAAGCATTTGCAACATTTAATGAATCGTACTCTATATGATTTAATCAAAATGTAAATAAATATATATATATATATAGAGAGAGAGAGAGAGAGGGAAAGATAGAAAGAGAGAGCAGAAATTGAAATTAACAATTGTGACAGAAAGATGGTCACTTTTTAGCTATACTGCTGAACTAAGTATAATAAGTTAGAGTGAGACATATAATATATCTTTTCTGCGAGAAAGTGAGATAGAAAAGATGTCTATAACGCTATTAGTTAGGTAACACAGCTGCGCATGCGCAGTTCATTTTTGGAGACGCGAAATTTGGAGAGTGTCATTACTGTGATAACTGTGGTTATACTGTCCGTGTTTATATGTGAATATTGAAACGTAGCCAATGAATGCATTCTACGTAGCAGTGTTACAACCGCTCACTGAGCTCTCAGTCAGCTTTTACATCCGATTGGCATATTCCTTTAGATCCAAAAATATACGCCAATCAAATGCAAGAGCTCACTTAGTACTCAGTGAGCGATTATAATACTGAATGCACCCAATCAATTCCACCCAATCAAAGGACTCGTGGAAATTATATATTAATCAGCCAATCAGAAAATGTTGGCCACTCTCTTTTTAGGCTGAATCTATTAGGTGCGCAACTAAGTTCCCGCTGTTTTTCAAGAAATGGCTCCAGTAGTAAGTGCTGGTCGATTGTGACATAACCAAAACGTCATGAACCAAGCTTAGACATATGGTAAACAAACCGCTTTGACACATTAGTGATTTTGTTTTTGCGTCATATACTTTTGGTTGTGCGAAAATGTCTTATTTTGTGCCAAATAATCGTCATTTGCAGGAAGTGTTGCTTTTCTTCTTTCATTCGAAGAAAACGGCGGCTGAAGCGCATCGAGAACTCCAAAAAGTTTACGGAGATGCTGCTCTAAGTGAAACAACGTGCCGTGATTGGTTCCGTCGCTTCAAAGATGGTGATTTCGATGTTGACGACCGTTCGCGTGAAGGAAGGCCAAAAACCTTCGAAGACGCTGAATTGGAGGCATTGCTCGATGAGGATCCGTGCCAAACGCAAAAAGAGCTTGCTTCAGCATTAGGAGTTACCCGCCAAGCCATTTCCAAGCGATTGCATGCGTTGGGAATGATTCAAAAACAAGGAACTTGGGTTCCTTATGATTTGAAGCCAAGAGACGTTGAGCGTCGTTTTTTCGCCTGTGAACAACTGCTCCAGCGCAAAAAAGGAAGGGTTTTCTTCATCGCATCGTTACGGGTGATGAAAAATGGATTCATTACAGCAACCCAAAGAGAATAAAATCATGGGGACTGCCCGATCATGCTTCTACGTCGTCGGCTCGGCCGAATATTCACGCTGCGAAGGTTTTGCTGTGTACTTGGTGGGACCAGGGCGGTGTTATTTATTATGAGCTGTTGAAACCGAACGAAACCATCACTGGGGAACGGTATCGAACTCAATTGATGCGATTGAGCCGAGCACTGCGCGAAAAGCGGCCACAATACGAGCAGAGGCACGAAAAAGTGATTCTACAGCATGACAACGCTCGGCCTCACGTTGCCAAACCCGTTAAAACCTACTTAGAAACGCTCAAATGGGAAGTCCTACCCCACCCGCCATATTCCCCAGATATTGCGTCGTCCGATTATTACTTGTTCCGTTCGATGGCACATGGTCTGGCTAATCAGCAGTTCCGCTCATATGAAGACATCTCAAAATGGCTTGATTCGTGGATAGCCTCAAAAGACGAACACTTCTATTGTGACGGTATTCGAGCTCTGCCAGAAAGATGGGAAAAAGTTGTCGCTAGCGATGGGCAATATTTTGAATGATTCATTTGTAACCATTTTTTCACAATAAAGTTGCATTTTCATCAAAAAAACAGCGAGAACTTAGTTGCGTACCTAATACAATAGATATAGTAAACCTTAAGTTGTAAAAAAATTGACCAATCACAGCCAATTATTTTCTTCACATTCGATTGTGGAAATTTTTCTCAGTACCGGCTGTCAAAATTTACCAGATTTATGCTTTTCCCAAAAAATTTTCACTAATCTCCAAAATGTGAAAAAAATCACCAAAGGAGAAAGGTCCCTAAGGCCTGTTTTCGGCACCCTTTAAAATTGGACCAAAATGGCTGGAATCACTTCCTTATACCCTTGGAAGTAATATTTAGTTAATTCCAACTTAAACGGAAGTATTTAGAGTGTATACTTCAAGTATACATGGTGCATCAGCGCACCCGTATCAAGCATTTCTTTGGAAAACTAAGCGTTTCTGAAAAAAATGTTTCAGATAAAAGTTGTATGGTTTCAAGGGGGACATAAGATGGTGTCATTAGTTTGATTGGTTTGAATGACTTGGATAGTCATTTGAAGGTCACGTGAATGTCGATTTCAATATTTTATATAGAATCCCCTATTTTTACATATCTTGTAGCTTATCTCGAGAGCTTTCCAAAACACTATCGTAGATCACGTAGAAACACTTATTACAAATACTTTTGAAAGAAATGACTGACGTATTTTCTGCCGCAAGGCTAAATACGAAGTTTTGAAAAGAACTGTTTTAAGAACTGCATGCACCTTTTTGAGCAACTACGATCCCTTAAGCTTTTAATTCAATAGACCAAGTCCTGTTTATGTCCATGGCCTTATATCGGACCCGATCTCACATCTTAATGTCGGAAGATACACAAAATGCGTGTATGCGCGTACCCAGGGATTGATTACGATAAAAATAAAACTACTTCTTGTCAGAGCTGCTTCTCGAGATTTTCTTATTACGCAAAAAGATATATTGTTATTTTTGAGTTTTTCTTCTTTATTTTTTCTCCTTCTTTAGTTTTTAATCTTTGTTCCGTATGGCACGTGATGCCGTACGGAAAGTCGGTGTCGGAATCGACACTGCAGGGCGGGCGGCCTGGTTCCCGGGGCGTTCTCGCTAGCGGCGGGGGACTCCCGGTAGGTTCAACCGCGGCCGCTACACGGCACGGCTCGCGATTCCGCTGCCCACAGGCAAGATTCGACCGCCCGGATATATAACCGGGCGCGCCGTGCCTTGTGCTTTGCCTTGCCTTGTCTTCTGCCTGGCCAGTTTTTGGTAGCGAATTATGCTACGCGTTCGTGCATCGTGTACTGGTGATTACTGACGTGCTTTTTTCTAGGCTTTCCTAGGGCGTGTTCGGTCTTCCGTCTTAGATTCGAACCACCGCTCTATATACTCTGCTGAGTTGAAGGTGGCGCCAATACACCCTGCTGGGTTGAGGCTAATGTTTCGAATCTCGTCTTGTGATCTCGGGCTCACGGCGTTGCCGTGATCTTAGGAGCGACTCGACCGTCTCCTCGGAGCTTCGAGCTCCCTCGTTCCCAAGCGTCCGTAGGGGGGCCTTGGCGATTCAGAAGCGGCTCGGTTGTCCTAGAGCTTTCGCGCTCCTTCTTCCAAGTATCCGTTGGGAACTTGGCTTTCTCACAGGAGCGACTCGGTCGTCCTGCGAGCCGGAGCTCTCCGAGCTCCATTCCCACGCATCCTCGGGACCGTGGCTGGCTATTGGCCGTTACATCCGGAAGGGCAGACCGTCCGAAACGACGGAGGTCGTTTCGTTACACGTGCTTGACGTGCTCCGGGCGCCGCGCACCGTTGACATCACACACGTGTGTCATGCGAGACTTTGCGTTCGCGACGTTGTTCGCTTGTATATAGTTGCGTCGTTCTCCTGCGTTGTTTCACTTGCGTTTTACTGCGTTACTTCCGCGATACTCTATTGCGTCTACTGCGTTCGTTGCGTTTTACATCGGCGTCTCTACATCATTGCGTGCGTGTCCTCTCTCTCTCTCTCGATCGCTTCGCCGCCGTCCCTGAGCGCGGTGCGTCGGCGCGCGGTGTTGCGTGTTCAGCAGGGTCCGTGGTCGCCTTACGGGGCCCCAGCCTTCACTCAGGACGACCGGTCGGTCGTCGAGAGGACTCGAGTGGCCCGGCCGCTGGCGGACGTCGCTCTGCGATCCCTTATTATCAGCCAGCTCTCCGGAGCTATCATATGTTCGGTCTTGTTCCGAACAATCTTGCATAATTATTCAGATTTGTTCTACAGTGTCAATTTCCCGCTTAATGTTCCTTTTTCTTCTCTCGGTTTTCGCCACCGCACTCTCATCGTCGCGCGATGATTTACGATTTCTTCGTTAAATGTTCTCGCGGGCTAATCCTCTCAACGCGATCGTCTACTGGCAAATTATTACTTACTGCTCAATGTCCGCAGGATCGTTGCTGGAGGCGCGTAGTGCCATGTACAAGGTGACGATTACAGCCGGCACCGACAATCCGAGTCCAATCAGCCAATTCACTAATTTGTGCTCGTTGGTGAATGCGTTTACCAGTAAGGTGTGCAAATAGAGATCCTCGCAGAACATCCAGGCGTAGTTTGTTAATAGGAAGTAATGAAAGAGCACATACAATACACGGCAATATATCTGCAAAGGATCTGCAAAGGATACGTGGAAGTTCATGAATGGAAGTCCTTTCAAAACTGCTCAACTATTTGCGCACGCGACAGTAGCTCAATCAGAGCAATTGTGACATCGAGCTGCAAAATCTGATAGAAACGGCGCCGTGCTTCTTGATGATGCGATTGACCGTTATTACCAAATTTGCGTAAATTATTTTCGTTATATGTTACAGCAACACATATACGTCTGAGATATGTACGATAACGATAAATCAAATTGTTCGCAGAAGGGGACGGAGAGGTCGCAACCGTTTTCTTCACGAGCATTTCTCTTCCTTGGAATATTTCGCGCGGAGATTGTTGCGTGACTCGAAAAATTGGCGAAAAGCAATACGAGGATAACGTACGAGAATAACAAAAAATAACGTAAATTGGCAACTATACAGTGACCAACTATAGTCACGCGAAACGTGACCTTTGTACGAGTCTCATATTCTAAACAAAAAAAGCCTTTTACAGAAAAAGAACGATTCATCTAAAATTTATTAGACATTATTCTAACCATTTTCCTCTTATTTCAAGAGGATTCCCTCTGATATCAATTAATTTTCCTCTTACAGGTTGCATGAAAAGTACGCGGAGCGGAATCTATAAGTAAACGGTAGAATTATAAATTGTAATCGGTTATATGGAATCACTCTTCACATGAACCTAGGTTAGGTTTCATTTCCATCTGTCAATTCTTTCTGTGTTTACAAGCCAATTGAAGTTGACGGGTCAGTATATTTGTTTGCAATGGAAAATTTGAAACAGCGTGCAATGATTGAGTTCTTTGTTAAAAAAGGTTTAAAGGCAATGGAAATTCATTCCGAGATGGTAAATGTGTTAGGGGAATCTACTCCTTCAAAAACAATGGTTTGTAAATGAGCACTTGAGTTTCAACGTGGTCGTACAAGCATTGAAGATGATCCACGCAGTGGACGTCCAAAAAGCACATCAACACCAGAAATCATTGAGCAAATACATGTTATTGTTTCTGAAGATCCAAGTGTGACTACGCGTGAAATTGTTCATACCATAGGCATTTCAGATGAACGGGTACGGCATACTTTGCATAAAGAATTACAAATGAAAAAGGTGTTTGGAAAAGTGGTTCCGCATACGTTAACAATTCAACAAAAACTCGCTCGAAAGCAAATTTCTCAGCGTCATTTGAATCGTTTTAAGAAGAATAAAACCAATTTTGTGCGTCGTTTTATAACTATGAATGAGACTTGGATCATCCATAGTTCCATATCACCATGATCCTAAATTGAAACAGGAACATTTACAGTGGACTGAAGCTGGATATTCAGCTCCAAAGCAAACAAAGCATGAAAGATCGGCAAAAAAAGGTTTCACATCAGTTTTTTGGGATGCTAAAGGGATTTTGTTAATTGACTATCTGGAAAAAGGTAAAACAATTAACTCTGAATATTATTGTAACCTTTTGGGTCAATTGGACGCAAAAATTCGTGAGAAAAGACCTGATTTGCAGCACAAACAAATCATTTTTCACCAAGACAACGCATCTGTTCACACAAATGTTTTGTCAATGTCTAAATTCACTGAATTGAAGTACAAATTGCTTGATCATCCACCGTATTCGCCAGATTTGGCACCCAGCGACTTCTATCTGTTCCGAAACCTGAAACAATTCCTCCGTGGAAAGCATTTTTTGTCGAATGAAGAAGCTATAGCAGCCGTAGAGGCATATTTCATAGACCTTCCAAAAACACACTTCCGCGATGGAATAAAATTATTGGAGAGCCATTGGGCCAAGTGTATTGAAGTTAATGGAGACTATATTGAAGAATAAAATCATTTTTAGAATTAGATATTCTTTATTTCAGTTTCGCTTCGCGAACTTTTCACGCAACCTGTATATGAAGAGGAATATGTTAATTTGATGTCGACTTCTTTTGTTCAATCATGCTCCGCCTCCAGACATGAACGAAAAAATAATCATATGCTCATGGGTCGGAATATTTGGAACGCTTTTCAAAAAAGTACAGTCTGTCTACTAAGAGCGTGGTCGGCCTTACTTATAACTGATAAACGGTACCGCCCTAAATCTTTTGTGAGCCGATAGATGGATACTTTGTCCTTGATATACTAGCAAGAAAGATTCAGTTGGAATCCTGCTTTAACACTACGTCAAGGACAAGCAAAATTAAAGTCAGAAGGTTTAGATATATCGCTTGAAACTATCCGAACTCATCTCCGCACTCATGACCTGAAATGGCGCAACAAAATAAAGAAACTTCTGTTGACCGAAAAACATGTGACGAAGCGACTCGCTTGGGCCCACGAGAACATCGATCAAGATCATAGCAACGTAATTTTTACCGATGAATGTTCTATATGGGCACGTTGTATCCTGACGCGAGCCTGGTCGACTTCCACCAATAGGCTTGTCCAGTGAACAGTAAAACACGGAGTAAAGGTGCATCTTTGGGGCTGCTTCTCAAAGCAGGGATTTGGCACTTTGCACCTGTTTACCTACAACCTGAATGCCGAGAAAATGCTGAAAATATACAAAAAGGCTTTGTTACCGTCTGCCAAACGTTGGTTCGTCGATAAAAATGAGGTTTGAATTCTGCAGCAGGACAACGATCTTGAACACCGCAGCAAGCTCTGTACCGAGTGGAAGAAGCAATCTGGCATCATTACATTGGATTGGCGTCGCAGTCGCCCGATGCAAATCCCATAGAAAATGTGTGGGCATACATTAGCAGAAGCAGAAGCTTCGTGGAAAACGCACGTACACTTTGAACAGTTATATATTGCGAGATTCGTCGGATTTGGAGATCCTTGCCGCTAGAATACGCCGTCAATTTGATCCAAAGCATGCCTCGGAGATGCCAGGCAATTATGGACGCCGGTGGTGACTGGACGCATTATTGACATTATTGCATCCTTCTTCTCATCGAATACAATGCATATATGTATTTAAAAATTTTATTTAATATATTTTTTTATAAATTAACCCGACCACGCTCTTACTTGACAGACTGTACATGACGTATCAAGAGGTAACTCCCGGATCTTTAGCGCGGTGACCTGGATGTATCGGCGCAGATACAAATTTTCATGCACTGTCGACATAACGGCGGAAATAAAGGCGCCGATAAATTACAAACTTACCGAAAATACGTGAAGATTCCTAAGGAGAGCATAAGCGTCATAAAGGATATCATGCCTCGTAAATTTCATTAATTTTTTGCTGTCCTTATAACAATCGCAAATATATTCTCACCTTGGATCCGTTCGTTCGTCTTTTCGTTTTACCTTGTTCGTCTTTCCGTTCATTTTCTCTTTTGATTTCGGTCTTTTCTTCAATAGTAGACAGAAATGTGGCTCGAGAAACAAAAGGCGATCTCTCGCCTTTTACTGCTCTTATACGTTCTGGCGAAACTTCTCTGCTTTCCGCTAACATAATACGTCGCATTTGTCTTAAATATACTTTCGTCTCATCTGCAAAGCAAAGTCGGCTAGTTATAGGACGTTGTAACGTTGTCCTATGTATGACAAATGTCCACTAGGCACGAAATGTTTATGGAACTCGGACACGACAGCCTGCCTTAAGGACAGCCACTCCTGCGATTAGAAACGAATCGGGCAATCGTTTTGGGCTCTCGGCTGGCGAGCAAACAGGAAACGCACAGCGAAGACGAATTCAGTAAAATTCCCGTTCATCAAATATTTAAATCGGTAATGACGCACGACGGAGGGTCCAAAGGACCTGTTTTTATATTTATTACGGCCGGACGACCGGATGTCGATGTTTTTGAGCTTTGGCGCAATGTTAACTCTTCCGCTCCGTAATGCGGCTGGGCAGCACGGCATTATTCTTGACCGCACACACACACACACACACACACACACACACACGTCGCGTTTCTTATTAATAGTGCGGCAGCACGTAAGCTGCAGGCCATGCTTTCACGTTCCACTGCTATTTATGAATAAGGTACCAGCCAGGCTTTAGTTGCGCACAAAATATAGATGAACCTTTTACTACCGAACAAGTAAATCCACGTGGCACCGGCGAGTCAACTCGTCTGGTAAAACTCAGATTCAGTAATGAATATCAATCTGCGTCGAAAAACTGCGACGAATTTGTCGGACCAATCGGGTTGACCCTGCGTAGACACGACGCTCTCACAAATATCGATCTTCTGTAAGTATCTGCAGTACCGGCCAAAAATATACTACCTTTAACCATTTGAGCCACGAATTTTTCCTTTCAACCGATTTCTATAAAATTTTGTATTCAGGGATTTTTTGAGTCGCTGATTACGTGAATCCGTTGTCAGATTTTCGAAATTCAAAATGGCGAATCCAATATGGCGGATGTAAAATTCAGAATTTAACCAATTTCCGTGAAACTAGGTACCTAGCGGTTTTTAATGTCGCTAATTACAAATCCGTTGTCAGATTTTCGAAACTCAAAATGGCGTACAAATCTAGGTTTTTTAAAATTCTCGCTGTATTAAATCAGTCATCGTGAATTTTGAAAATCTGATGATGGATTCATAATTAGCGACCTAAAAATCCCTCAATATCAATGTTTCTAGAATTGAAGTTTTTTTTAAGTTTTTCGCCCGACATATTGGATTGATAATCTCGAATTTTGAAAATCTGATAATGAATTCGTAATCAGTGGCCCAAGAAAACCCTAGATACCTAGTTTCACGGAAATTGGTTGAATTTTTAATTTTATGTCACCATATTGGATTCCTTATTTTGAATTTCTAAAATCTGACAACAGATTCGTAATCAACGCCCCAAACAAATCCTTGCGTATCAATTCTCAGATAAAAATAATTAATTCTTCGCCTTGCCATACATTTATTTTTAAAAACATTTTATTGTGTTTACTTATTTACTATTAGCAATAATAAATTTAAAATATTTATAAGTAATCACAATTATTTTACATTAGTTAGGGTCTTAAGAAGCTAAAAAATATAATTGCTAAGAAATCAATCGTTAAAACTGCTCATAAAATATAAACAACTGACGGAATATAGGTAGGTCTCTGCCTGCGTCACAAAGGGTTAAGATATTTGAGCATAACTTGGTTTGAAGTGTATGGATATATATATTAGGTCATAACATGTTTT